CCATTTATAAAAGCAGTGGACTGCGGCTCGATTCAGATGTTGATGAGGGAGGAAGATCGTATGCGAAATCGCAAATTTGGAGTCATTTCTCCGCCTAGTAGTGCTGACTCTGTTCTATAAGCCATATTCGGATCAGTCCCAACCGAGGGGACTTTTTCCACTGAAACAAGGAGACGATCGGTCACCTTTTCGGCCTAGGTCGTTAACCAAGGTGGCTAGAAGAGCAGGCCTGCGCAGGCAGAGTTTTAAGGCCTAGCAATGGGCATTTGCAGCAGAGGTACGGAAGCGGCGTCTTTGGCGCCTGTTGATAGGGCATTTGGTGTGTCCATGCCATTAACTCGCATGCTCAAGGATGGATTTACCACTGTACGTTCAAATCTACGAACGAGTACAAGTCAGGGCACTGGGACATACAATTAATTAGACGGGCATTCCTAAATGGAGGCTTGGTAAACTATGAAAGGCAAGGAAATGCCTACATCGTTATTCAGTGGTTAACTACCTTGTCAAGGGTAATTGGACCGGTCGTTTGATCCATCCGGAATGTCCTGGCTTAGTGTAGACTGAAATATTGGGATTGGCTTATGTGGAGGGGTAAAACCACCATAAGCCCAGAGTCAACAGGCTGTTTATTAATTGTCTTCCAGGCAAACCCTTGTCGCTGCCTTGTTTAACTCTACCTGTATTGTCGGTTGTTGAACGAATAAATTATGAAGTTTAAATGTGAAGAGACCGGGTGCGATTGGCATTCACAACGTATGCCTACACAGTAACAATTTGCCAAATGTACTGTCTATTAGTACTGTCATAGGCCGCTCGTCGAAAGAATGACAAGTTTCGGGAGGATGGGGCCTCATCAGAACGGATTTTTAGCGTAATACTAGGAGGACTGGATGCTTCACATTTTCCCTAAACCCTTCCGTGAGTTCTATAGTCTGCACTCCCTTGAAATGTGTAGCCAGAAGCCAGGTTTATTCGGTTGGCCAGCTGTCAGCGTCTGCGGATATGATGCATTTGCTGAGTAATCAAGCGAGATTAATATAAAGAGGAAAAAGTTGCGAATGATGATGTCGCCTTGCCGCAC